CTTGTATTTCTCCCATAGCCTTAATTTACCAGAGGGGGCGCTCCCGAGGGATTAATGAACTTCTATCCATTTCCTCATGTGCAGAAAAACAAAAACAAAACACAAGCACACCTGTTTACTCTTGTCTTGTTTACATATATGTTCATCTTATATCCTGAATCAGTTAGTGGTGCTAGTTTTTTTTATATTTCTCCCTTTTTAATGTACGCCATAAAAAGACACAGAAGTTCACTAAATCCCGTGTTTCTCAGGGTCAGAATCGACACATAAATCAAGGTCAGTTACAGCGTGGTGTCCAGGGATTTGCTGCAGAGTTTGGTAATTGGATTGAAAGCCCATTCTGTGTCAATATTTTTGGAAAGAGAAAATATAAGGCGTTATTGTGTAGACACACCCAGAACTGAGAGAAAACGACACACTGGAGACAAAGTGAAGATTAACCCATAATATAGTCGCTGATAACAAGGAGGAAAAGACTCCATGTTGTTCTGCAGATGACATGAGGCGTCACCCATGGCTGGGCTCCAAAACACACACACATCGAAGATGGAGTGAAGGTCCATAAACACATGAATGCATCGACATGCTGACTGAGGCTGCCAGATAAGACCAGCAAGGACGGACGCGTTCATTAATTTAGGTTGGTCTGTTGTGCCAAAAAACTCAGAATCATCTGCCTTCGCCCGGCAGGGATTAACACACACCCGCCAAGGTCACAGTTGTGCGTCTCGTGTCTCATTTCCTGACAGCAGCAGGGTGAAGGCTACAGAAAGGGTGTCAGGGCTGAATCCCAGCCAGACACAACATGGAGCCACATTCTTCACTTTCTTGTTGAAACAAATGTGAATATCCTGGACACTACATTATTCAGAGGCAGATTGGAGACTAAGATTTAATCTGGGGGGGGGGCAGGGAGGGGGTGAGTGAGGGTTAAACACTTTTTTAACAGCCCCCTGAGGCAGTTTGCAAAAAAAAGTGAAAACACAGATTAGATTAGTGGGGGCTAAAATATCTGTATGACAAACAGGAATTCCATTTGAAGCCACAGTTATTGTTGGTTTTGGAGGAAAAAAAAAAGGGTCAGAAAAGACTGCTCTTTTCTGATGATTTATGGTAAGTTAAGTCAACTGGTTACTGGCTGGAGCTCCATGTGGTTTTGGCCACATTTTATAGGATCGCAGCAGCAGCTTCATTCATTCATACCTAAAAACCCACAGAATAACGGCAGAGATTTGGTCACAGTCGTCGTCAGTGAAAAAAAAAAAAAAAAAGAAGAAAAAAACAGTGTCAAAAATCCCTGAGGACTCAGAGTTGAAATGTTTGAAATGCCTGATATGAAACTAATTATCATATATTATTACCATCTCCAGTCATTTGTCTTCAGCTGCTGGGATGTTACTCTTTGTCTGATTTGAGTTTCTTCTTCTTTAGTTTGCCTAAATGGTCTGGATTGAAGATTTTTACTGATGGAAATCACAGACCCCGCAGGTGGAGGAGACCCCAAAGAGGAAAAAGGATGAAAGGTGGGTCAGTGGGTGGGGTTAATAGAGATCGAAATTGATTTTTTTTTTTCTGTGTATTCTTTGATCTTTACACATTGACATTAGCCAAATGTTCTTGTCACTACATGCAGTCTGTTTCTAATGCAGCAGTATTTTTGTTGTCTCGTATGAGGAGACAGTATTTTTAATTTATGCTAACAAGATAACATCTGATTATCCACATGAGTCTAACTTCAGGTTTAGCATTAACAGATCCCTAACAGACGACTAGAACAGTGCAGTCAGCTGATCTAATCACCCGTGGCTCCCTGCAGAGCAGGATATGACGGTGCCTTGTCCATTTAGCTGAAGACAAACCAGTGTTCAGTCTTCAGTCACATTTGCAGCACGGTTTCGGGGCACGACAGGCCACTTAATGGACCATTGAGCTCCAGGGTAAAGGCCTGATAATCAGGTCTTGGTCTTCGAGGGATCGTTAAAGAGCCTCTCAGGGAATTTGTGAGCAGAGATGCACAGAGTGGATGTTACGAACAGGAAACACGCTACAGCACACACACACGGTCATGTTAATGGCCGCTCTGAATGCTGGGAGTAGAAATGAGAGGAGAGTTGAAAGAGCAGGGCCACAGTTTGTTATTGATATTCTATATTCATACCATGATCTCTTTTTATTATCAAAAATCCATTGTTCTGGTGTCACAGTTTAGAAACATTTAAAAATCAAGGTCATCTAAAGCCTCTGTCTTTGGCTCAGCCACAGTGTGGCGCTGTGCTAGGAGCAGCTGTACATTTAATTCACTACACAATCGTCCAGTTGTTGGAGGACTGAACGTTGGTCTTCCGACCTCCTGCTTCATTATGGAAGAATTTGACCCGCGGAGTGAAAGATAAAGTAAACTGAAGAGGACGGATGTGGGTCCAGTCACCCGTAAGAACATCCGCCCCGTACACGGGTCTGACACATTTGGAGTATCTGCTGATCACGAGACTGTGGAAAGTTCTTGTTCTAAGCCTGAGATCGTGCTGGTGTAGAAACTACACCAATGATTTTCCTAGTAACCAGGCAACCGTACAAACATCTGGTTCCTGGTGCCATGTTGTGGTTGTCGTTTCATCCAAACGTCCAAAGTCAATAAGAAGGAAAAGTACATGTGAGCACGAGGAACACTTCTTATCCGAGGGGTTATTTTGACATTAATGGACCGAACTAGGAACGTTAGGCTTCAGTTAAAGAGTTTATGAGATTCATGACTTTGTTTTATAAAATCAGTCACAACAAATTTTGATTTAATTTAATTTCATAAAACCAGTGACAACAAATTTTGATTTAATTTAATTTCTCCACTGTTTGGTCACAGGACCAGCCTTCTGATTGGATATAATTTTCAATCAGGTTTTTGAACCCTCAGCATCACCATCAAAATTTCGTTTTGTTTTTCTCCAAAACCGAAAGAACATTTAAAAGGGACTAAAGAAGCAGTTTGTGTTTTTTTTCTTTCCCAGCCACCTTAAAAACTGCCCTCCATTTTGTGTCAGTGTCTGAGCAACAAGTCTGCAAAGAGAGCAGAGAAGTGAATAAATATTCCTGAGGCGAGTAAACAAAGAACAAACAGACTCAGGAGAGAAAGAATGAGTGGGAGAGGAGAGAAAAATATAATGATCATATTTTGGAGATGAAGTAAAAACCACCAAACCACTCAATATTCTCTCTGTGCTCCGTCCTGACCAGAGCAGACTGTCTAAATATAGGCTGGAGAATTGTATATCCATAACATGCATCACAGACGGCGTCACTGAATAGTCTTTAAGCTTAACTCTAAATGTTTTTATTCAAGTAAAAAACAAAAAAAAGGTTTGTGTTCAGACTAAGCTGAAAACTTTGAATTCAAGTTTCTTCTAACCCTAACCCTAAGACAAAAGAACGTCCCTCAACTTCACCTAGTCACACGTCAACTGTTCAGTTATGAGGCTCTGACCTCAGACAGGCAAAAGGAGGAGTGGGGGAAGGGGTGAGGAGGCAGGAGGAGGACGAGGGTGGATGGTAGGAGGCTAAACGCAAGATAGAGGACACAAAGAAAGGTGGATGAACAAAGAGGGACGAGCAGGGAAGAGGTGAAGGCGGGACAGGAGAAGACGTGGAAAAGGCTGAGCAGTGAGTGAAGATGAGGAGGAAGGAAGGAAGGAAGAAGGTGGAGGAGGGACACAGGAACACAGTTGTGTGTCTGCCCGTTTGAGCATCTGAGAACCAGACACACATGGACAGAGTTAACTCACAAAACACACACACACAATATATATGTTTAAAAACAAAGAACACAAAGAAGAGAGAGAGAGAGAGAGAGAGAGAGAGAGAGAGCTGGTCTAAGCTAACGCTCACTAATGCTACCGTCCAGGTGGATCAACAAAACTCCAGGGTTTGAATGTGGGGTTTTTTTTAGAGGAAACATGAGTCTGGAACCTCACTGAGCTTTTCTCCAAACAGCTAAAGACCTTTCAACCAGGCTCTGCTCTCCAGGCTGATTATGCAGCTGCAGGAGGCTGCAGGAGGTTTAGGGTTGCAGTGACATCAGCGCCGGGCCAATAAAAAAAAAAAAAAAAACTAACATGATTCAGGTTCTGGTATTTTTAAATGGCTGAGAAAAAAAGAAAAAGAAAAATCAGTGTAAGGAAAAAAAAAATATCAGTGTACAGTTTCTAACATATGGGTTCAATGATTTTAGATCAGATTTAGCCACTGTCCTCGTCCATCCTGGCTCTGCTTTAACACAGATACTGCTCCTTTGTCTCACATTGGTCGTAAAATTGGATCTAAAATTATATACAGGAGTAAAAAGTTATTTTATTATAGAGTGAATTTAATGTTGACTCAGAAGAAGCTCGCGACGAAGGTTCTTCGTGCTTGAACGAACCCGTGTTTCCAGCCTGTTTGTTTGTTTGTTGTTGTTGTTGTTGTTGTTCTAGCAGATCTGAACCAACACACTCGCAGTGATGAATATTAGTGCTTTAGACTCAGCAGTAATTCAACCGTCCAGGCCTGACACACACACACACACACACACTCACTCACTCACACCCACGTGGGGGGTGCATGTGCAAATGCATACTGGCTTAATGGTGAATATTGCAGGCCATTATCATTGTGTGTGTGTGAGTGTGTGTCCATTGCAGGGGGGGTGCAGCTTGACATTCCATCACTTTAACCCTTGCCTTGCCTTGCCAAACAATGAACACACACACACACGCACACACACTCAGGTCCAGCTTTTATTGTCAGACCTCAGTATTGATTTCCAATCACCTCACAGTAACTGGAACCTAATTCTCAAACTTCAGCCAATGATCGTTTACTGTCCAGACCCTGAACTTAAACTACGAACAGTTTATGACAATCACAGCATCCAGGACTCGATTTAGATCAATTATCTATTATTACTCTTCTCACCACTGTGAGACCGGGCTCTACACCCACACTGACCCACCCTGACCCACCACACCCACCTTGCCGGGTGGAGACGTTCCTCTCGTTGGCAGCGGTCAGCACCACCTGCGGGTGGCTCTGCTCCAGCACGAACAGCTCATCCTTGCCCACGCGCGCGCTCTTTCCGGACTTCATGGTGCCGGAGGGCCCGGAGGGGGCCAGGTACCTCCCGCTGCAGTCCCTGAAGGCCACCTTGCCGGATCGGAACTCCAGCGTGTAGCCCGTGCTCTTGTCCGTGGAGGCGACCAGCGCGCCGTCGTTCTTCAGGAAGCGGTTGTCGGAGGTCTGCAGGTGGTAGCGCTGCTCTCGGAACACCAGCGTGATCATGGAGTCCACCCCCCACGGCACGTCCCGGTCGATGGCGATCTCGTCCACCTTGGAGCTCAGGTGCGCGTAGCGCTTGCGCGTCATGCTGAAGATGTTCACCTGCGGGTGCATGGCGATGTGCACGCTCCATTTCTCCGCCACCGAGGCGGTCTGGGCGAAGCAGATGATCCGGTCCTCGGTGCCGCCCAGGTAGCGGCCGTGCTGCTCGGACTGCAGGGACCAGCGGCCGTCGTCGTGCGCGGTGATGATGAAGCGGCACTCGGAGCCGGGGCTCTCGCTGTCTCCCGTGACGTTCCCGTCCTTGTCAGCGCCGATGTAACGGCCCAGATGTGACTTGAGGTAGAAGACGTTGCCGCTGGAGTCGTCGCCGCTCTGCTCCAAGGTCCAGATCTGCTTCTTCTTCATGCTGGTGGCGGACGCGTTGATCTTGAAGCCGAACATCTCCGCCGTTAGGTATTTGTTCCCGCAGTTGATGAGACCGAACTGGATCTGCAGCATGTCGCTGGTTCCGTTGGAGGCGCCGTTAGTTGTCATGGTGGCTCTTTTTGTGTCGGAGGACGGTTCTGGTTCTGGTGCGGGTCTGGGGTGGGGGGGCGGTTCTGTCAGAGACCAGGTTCAGGACTCGAGTCTGATGCTGGGCTGTGTCGCGTGCTTCTCTTTGTTTGGGAGTGTGCGTGTGTGTGAGCGCGCGCCGCTGGTCCTCAGTGATGTGTGAGCAGCGCGAGCCCGCCGCCACAGCTGCAGCCTATATACGCGTCATCGGTGACGACATGCTGCCGACCACGCCCACCGACGGCCCTAAATCTGAATAGTATTAAAACCTTTTATTAAAAAGTAGACAGACAGACAGACAGAAAGGTGCATCTATACTTTTAGAACGCTATAATAATATTGGTTTGGGAAATTCTGATTGGTTCCTCACGAGTCAATCCCCAAAGATCCTGCAACTGTGATGGTATTCAGGAATGGACTCTGGTCTTTAATTCACTCCACAGATATTCTTTGTCATTTGAGTCACATTCACTTTGGCTCCGAGACAATGGTTTCACCGCAGGACGTGTGGTTCTGCTAGTTTGATAGACAATATAAGACTCAATTCTGCTGCTGACTAATTGAGGTTTTCTTTGGAAAACTTTTTCTTGGGTTGTTTTTTTTTTCTACCCTCACAGGATGCAGGAAAAAAACATTTTGAGTGTTGTGTCTTTGTACCAGATTTCCTAAAACTTCTCCGTCTTCTCAGTCTACAACATGGCCGTCGGTTATTGTGCAGATCTCGGGAGTTCGGATTTAATGCTAACACGTACGGAAATCATTGGTCAGCGTCGCATTTATTTTAATTTACATAAGTTGATATAAACTTATAGAAGATGTTTAATTTTTTTTTTTTCATTTTTAGGAGTTAGTATGAAGTCTATGTTGTGCATTTCGTTGCACGCTTCTCACTCAGACCTCACGCTCCCTTTTTTGACACAGCCTGTTGAAGTGAATTATTTATTCAAATCATGAGAATGATATGATATGAACCTTCACAAAGCTCCATTCAGGCTACATTCCCACGGCCAGTGTCGCATGACTCACATTTCTCCTGACAGTCATATATATACATATATACCTTTTTAACGAGCTACTGCAAAATTTTACCTGTGCGTGTTTGTTTAAACAAATTAGCTTTGTACATAATCAGGTGGGGAACAGGAAGCATTACTTTCATTTATTAATGAAATTGTAATTCGTTATCAGGCTTTCATCACAGCACAAAGCAGGATCTGTCGACACATCTGGTTCTGGAGTGAAATTATAAATGCAGTTGTACTTATCTGATCTCGAGTCCAAAGAAAGACACTGTGTGAGCCCAGTTTCTGACATCCTATAATTAACTAACTCGGTCTTTCACTCACACGTCTGCCTGCAGCGCCATCAGCTCATGGTTGTTTTTAGTTCTCCCCCTCGGAGTAGATTTCACTTTACAAAAATATCGACGTAGTTTCTTCTTCTGCTTTTTTTTTTTTAAATCACTTCCAATTCCAATTTTCTTCCTCCTGAATATTTTACCAACGTCTCTGCAGAGTGGACAAATGTCTTTTTCATAAATAAATAATAATCACCAATGCCTACTGTCACCTTTATCGTTTCTCTATCGTACATCACTGATTGGTCGTTTTTTAAAATGGAAATTAATCTGGGAGAATATAATCCATCAGAGAGGATAAGGTTCCAATTTAATCTGGCTGTTTTTGTCGTCGTTTTTTTTTTTCTGGTCACATTTTGCAATTGTTTCCTTAATAATCCAGTCTAATCCGTGCAGATTTTGGTCAATCTGTGCACCTTTTGGTCTTACTATAGTCTGGGTATTTTTTACCTTTGTAGTGCTGTATATACTTGATTTTGATTATATCTTTTTTTTATATATATATTTGGCAAAAATATTTTCTATTTCTTCTTAGTATATTTCTCCTGGCAGGAGCAGCTGTAACATCAACATATAATAAAAAAATTCATTAATATAATTTTAAAAAAATCTGTGCTAGAGTAGAAAGAGTCCAGTCTTGGATCAGTGATCGATCATATCCCCTTCTTGTGGCTCCTGTAGATTCATGGTTTATTTTTGAACCTCACTGCTGCGTTCGCTGGTTGAGAGACAACGTTGGTCTCAAACCGATATCTCAAAGATCACAATCAATCAAAAAAAAAAACCAAGAGTCAGATGGCAGCCTGAGACAGAGAGGGACATGCAGGGGAGCTTTGTTCTCCAGCCCTGCTTTGATGGATGGTTGCCATGGAGACCAGCGATGGTTGATGAAAAGCAGGCACTCTGCAGCAGGGTGCACGCACATACAGCGACACACAAAGACGGGGCGCGCACATTGACACACTGACACACTTGCTGGACCCGCGGCCTCTGCAGACAGCACATACATACATTGTGTCAGCAGACGGAAAGCTGACCAATCGGCCGGCGCTGGTTCAACACACACCTCTGGGCTGCAGCCAATCACAGCGTCTTTTTCCACTCAGGATTAATAATATCCTCCAATCGGGAAACACGTTTCCAGATGTGGCTGTAAAAATGGCAGCGTGTCATTAAACTAAGAGAATATTAATTATACCATTTAATGAAGGAAGCGACGCTGTCTGCAGCGTGAAGTGATTACACACGAACCCAAGTCAGACGCCACGAGATAAGATAAAAGACAGTTTTTCATCAGACACGTCACAATAGAAGAGAAAAACTGCTTCTCTCTGTAAATGTTTACACATAATTCATACATAATTAGATGCAATTTTGGAGCCGGTTCCTGGATTCAGGTCACACACGGCTCCTATTGGATGGTCCAAATGTCAATCACATTTTTTTCCTATAATTGTGATTGACTTTTGTATTGGATCAATTTTCACCGACCGTCTCTTCCACCGTTGAAGGACTTCGTCGTCCGTGATGTTTTCTAACTACAGCCTCAAACAGTATCAGACGCAGCAGACGGTGATGTTTATGTAAGAAAACTAACATGGTTTTTGAGCAGCACTTGTCAAGAACCAGACGGTGTAACTTTGTCTGAAGCTACAGGGAGTGAGGGAAGAAGTGAAGTGAAACTGAGAAACTGGATTAGGGATTAAAATCGTACCAACTCATGTCCATGTGCCACCAGTTGAGCACTTTGGATTTTCTTTTTTGTTTTGGTATTTGCTACGATGACCAGTTGTGTGTAATGACCAGTGTTGACTCCTGATTTGAGCTGGTGTTTCTATTGATTATATTGATCCCAGTCCTGATGGCACACATGTTGAGACCTGGACCCTCTGGTCATCTCCCTGTCCCTGTCCCTGTCCGTCCCCTCTGTGTGTCCACTGGTCAGGGTCATGTTTCCTTTTAAACCCTCAGAGACATTCCTCCGTCTCTGTTGTCCGTGGTTTGTCATTAGTTTAAACTTCTTTCTCTGCCAACTCTTCTACCATTTGACCGTGTCGCTCACCCCCGTCTCTGTCAGCCAATGAGTGACCTGCGTGTGTGTGTGCTGGTGTCTCCTGCAACCTGAAAGGAATGTGTGTGTGTGTGTGTGTGTGCGTTGTGTGACTGTGCACACAGCTGCAGTCCTGCTGAGGGCCTCTCCT